TGAAAGGTGATGTTGTCCACATAAGTTAACATGTAAAAAACTTTTTTTAAGTACATGTATAAAAGAAAGTTCAAAAATGAATAAAAATCCTGATCGAGGTTGTCATAATTCATGGACGAGAGGGTGAGAAATCCCACAAATGACCCCTGACAGGCTCACCTGTGAAGTGAAATATGTCAGGTGACTACATCATGAAGCTCACTGAGAGTAGGGCGAAGGTTTGCAGCGCTGTCAACAAAGCAAGATTTGTCCGATTCGTCAGAGCATTACTTTGACAAATCTACAATATAAGACATATTTAGAGTTATTCATCATTTTTTTTCTTTGCTAAATAATTCCACATATCTTTCTTCATATATTTGATGTCTTCAGTTTGTATCTATGATGTAGAAAGTAGTAAAAATAAAGAAAAACCATTAAATAAGAGGTTGTGTCCAAACTATACACTGGTAGTGTATAGTGCCAAGTCACAAAAATCGCCTCAAGGTGCTTTATAGTTTAAGGGAAAAGATCCTGCAGCAAAAACCTCAAATGACCCCCTTTAGCAAGCACTTGGCAACAGTGGGAAGGAAGAACTCCCTATTAGCAAGAGGAAGACTCTGCCAGAACCAGGCTCAGGGAGTGGCAGCTGGTTGAGGTGATGGGAGGGAGCCAGAGATCAATAATAACAAATGATGAAATGCAGAGTGAGCAGAGTGAGAACATAGTGAGTGAAATATGTGAGTAAAGAAGCAACAATCAGTGCATCATGGGAAGCCCCCTAGCACCCCAGGCCTTCAGTAGAGTAGCTAGGGGAGGAGTCATTGCTGGATCGCTGGAGTTCAACTACACGTCTTATCAAATAGGAACGTTTGAAGCCTAATCCTAAAAGCAGAGACGTTTTCTGTCTCCCAAATCCAAACTGGGAGCTGGTTCCAAAGACCAGGAACCTGAAAGCTGAAGGCTCTGCTTCTACTTTTAAATATCCTCTGTTGGAAAGCCACATTCTAACTTGCATAATAACCAGAAGCTCCTTTTATCACTATACCACAACCTCCCATGGCATTCAAGCCCTTGTGATGTGTGTCGATCTGTTATATAGGTTTTGGTACAGGATGGGGTTTCAGTTAAAGCGCGAGTCACGACGTAGATTTCCTGAAGAAGTATAATTTACACGTAAGCCAGTTTCCCCAGAGTGAAGTGCTCTATTGGAGTGACACGGTACTACGAAGTCTCTTAGATAAAATGGAGTCTGATTATTCATGACAGGATTAGTTAATTTATTCATTTTTAAATGAAGTGCCAATTGACCTCAGTGGTCATGAGGTACTATAAGATCTTTAAGAAACTTTAGATAAGTGGAAGAAAATAGCTATAATTTATTGATTTGTTATTCAAAATCGTTATTCATTAACCCTTTAAGACCTACCATAGAACCAAGTCCGCCAGAGCTTATATTATAT